AGGCTCCTTGTCGCCCGGTATGTCTCCAGGTCCGCAGCACCCACAGCCCTCCCCCGGCCCACAGACCCGGCGCTGCCAGATCACGGGCGATTCCTGGGCACGGGCTCCTGGCGGGGCAGCAGGTCTGTCCCGTCTCCAGGCCACTGCCCAGCGTAGAACTCGTTCCCAGGGGCCCCTCTGCCCCCCGTCTTGCCCCGAAACCCGGGGTAGAAAGACACCCCCATTTCAGGGGCTTTGCATTGAACCTCAGCTGACTCAGTGCCGGCCGCGCTGGTGGACACACCCTCGGGGGCTGCTGCCTCCACAGCAGGCCCTGCCCGTGCCAGTGGAGCCCGGAGCTCGGACCCGTGGCAGCCAGGGGCCCCAGAGCCTCTGTGCGGACGGCAGGGGTCAGCTGCCCTGACCGGGGACTGGGGTTGGCGCCGTGCTGCAAGGACAGCAGATGCGGCTGCCGTGTGGCCGGAGGCTGGTGGCATGTTCTCCCGGGAGGGGCGCAGTCCCAGGGGCGGGGCCTCTCGGCCACCCGCTCAGCTGCGCAGACACGTCACTCACGTTCCCGTCACTGGAACCAGTTCCTGGCCCAAGGCCCTGGCCCTGGCAGTGACGCGGCCCCGGTGGGACTCCCAGTGCTCACGTCTGTGACTCGGGCCGTGTGTTCTGGGGCCGATTCCGAGGGGTCAGTGGAGGGGCTGGAGTGTGTCCAGGGGGTGTCTGCCCAGGGCTGGTGTCGGCTGTGCCTGGGGCCCCGCCTGCCCTGGGAGTCACCGGCCGCTCTCTGCACCAGTGGCCGCGGCCTGGCCGTGGGCACAGACCAGAGGGGCCGCTGTCCCACCGCGCTCCATTCCCCGCCAGCGTCCGCAGCGCCCACAGTCTCCTCCTCCCGGCTCCCAGGACAGAGCGCTGGTCCGCAGGGAGGGGCCGGCAGGCACTGGGACCCCCACAGCTCTGGGGCCAGAAAGGGACCAAGCAGTGGTACCCCGACGCTGGGCTGTGGTGGGCTCTCCCCTGGCCCCACCCCACAGTGTGACCAGGGCACTTCCGCGAGCCCCCTGCCCCCAGAGTTCCAGGTGCCCTTTGCACCCCGCCATTGGATGGTGACTTTTTGGGGGGGGGTCCAGCCTGGTGCCCACGCTGGGGGCCGCCTCACACTGTGTGCGGGGTGGGGGCTGGGAGGGCGCACCTGGAGGGAAGGGAGAGGGGTACTTGGGAGGGGTCCTTGCACCTTGTCCGTCTACCCCATGAGGCTCTCAGAGCTGAAAGCCAAGAGGGTGACGGCTGGGCAGAGAGAGGGGTGCAGGGCCTAAAAAGGGTGTCGGGTAGAGCGGTTCCTCTGCTGCTCCCCCCTCATGGTACACCCTCTGCCTGGCCCTCCCGCCCCTCTCTCCCCACC